ATTACTATAATTTGCTCTGTTTGTGTGTTACAGAATCATCGTAGCTACGTAACAGATTTACTCCGCTGTTGCGCGTCGGATCGGTGAGTGACGAATCTTTTTATTGGAATAATAAATTTGTAAAATTTATATTATTTAGATTATTTCTCATATTTACTATAAAAGTATTGCAGTTGGATATGTCTTCACAGATTTGTTATCCTAAAATGGGTTTGCCTTTAAATAGTTTAAAGTGTATATCCAGTCCTGGTATGATAACCATTTTTTATTTATTATATTATAATGCACTTGTGCAAATACATAGAGCTCATGAAATAGAGTTTATTGTTTCGATGCCTCATTATTTTATATTGTCTTTTGCATTTCAATTGCTGTATTAATTATTTAAAAGTTATCAAATAATCTCGCAAAAAAGTATAAGTAAACTAATTTAAACGTTTTAAAAATTAGATATATGTATATAATATATAAAATAGTACAGATAATTTAAAAATAATACTGTTGAATTTATTGAATTTTCTTTGGAAACATTAATATATAGAGTTTATTAAATTCATTTAATTTTCGATTTCCTTAAGTAAATATTTAACAATAATAGAAATGGCACAAAGCCGCGTAAAAATTTACATTAATAGTTTTCAAAAGCATTAAGTTTTTATTTAAATCTTTTTATGATATAAAACTTTTTTTATAAAAATCTTTATAAAAATAGAAACAATGATTACAAAAAAATGCTCATATCTTATTTTTATATATAATGATATGTAACATAATAAAATGATATGTACATTCAGAATTACTTTAATAATATATTATATATCAATATAAACTCTAAATATTAGATACTATAAACATAATCTATCAAATACAATAATACTACAATAATACAATTTATCGAATACAATAATATGAAGGATAAAAATAAAGAATCCCGCATAAAATCACATGTTTTTGGCCCTCTGTGAAATTGGCTGAAATTTTATAGTATGTCATATTTTTGACTTACTGATCAAGTTTTCTTAAGCACAAAGCTTAAGAATGGCTAGTTTTTTGATAGTCGTTTGAAATATTGTATTTCATCATTGTTCTTCTAATGTTCCAAATTAGTTTTTTATAATAAATCGAGAAATTTTAGACAATAATATGCGATTTACCTACACATTTGAGAAACATTTATGTGTATTATGTTTGCCTGTACATATGTGTGTATTTGTGTGTGGGGTAGAAGGCTAAATAGTATGCTACTATTTAGCTCCAAAAGCATGCTTTAAAATGTTGGAGTAACAACAAATAACACATATTAATTTTCACCCACTTATTCAGCATATACACACACACACACACACACACACACACACACACACACGTACGACACATACGCATGCACGCATATATTACG